TGCTACGATTTTTTTTGGTCTTTATTTATATTGCCATATTACGGATATATAACGTCTGAAGTAATAAGAATTTCAAATAATAATAAATCAATATATATATATATATATATATATATATATATATATATATATATATATATATATAATAATACAAAAAAAAAAAAATAATTTATCTTCTTTATATGTACACTCAGTCAGCATATTTTTAATGAATAATTTTCACTATGGATGGACTTTTCTTTTCCCTATTAAAAAAAAACAAAACTTTATTGTAATGATGTTAATTGTCGGACATCCTACTGTAATTGACTTAAAATTAATGTGTTAGATAAAATTTTTAATTTTTTATGTTATACATAGATTATTATTATTATTATTATTATTATTATTATTTTCATTTGTGCATGTTATGTTTCCTGCATTTATCCTGATATATTGAATATACATTGAAGAAAAGAATATAGGAGTTGATTTTGAATACTATCCTCGTACCCATTAAATTATTACGTTCTAGCTCACTTACATTTTTATCGCTGTCCTTGCGAGGAAAGACTTGTCATCTGACCCCACCACAGAGGTTCCATCGGTGGCAATGGCTTGTGCAGCCGTTTAGTGTCAAGCACAAGATTCCCCAGCTCCAACAATCGAATCCCAATTGAAATCACACGATTTCAAGACATCAAGGAAATCCTAGAGAATGCAACGGAGCGGCTGCTCCTTGTCCCATAAAATGTGTTCCAGTAATGATTCCATCATTGTAAACGACTCTGGATTAACTGCATGGATTTAGAAGGGAACTAATTCGAGGGAAATTTCATACCGAATTGATATGTTGTTTTCTTTTTATCGAACCAGTCCCGATACTTTTGGATCAGACCTCACACACACACACACACACACACACACACACATATATATATATATATATATATATATATATATATATATATATATATATATATATACTAATTTGTACTACTAATAAAGATCAAAACACAAAACATCATTTTAACATAAGAAAAAGCGTTGAAGGATGATATATTTGCTAGTGGCTCATCAGTAACTTATTTTCTAACCACATGAGATCTTTATATATATATATATATATATATATATATATATATATATATATTGATATTTTGTTCATTATACTAAAAATGGATAGTTGTAACATCAACAATACACGGACCTCGGGATAGAAAGCAACAACGCTATTATCTATTAGTACAGACAAGTATATATATATATATATATATATATATATATATATATATATATATATATAAATTATATAAAAATTAAACTCAATTTTAACCAATTTATATGGCCATTTCGCTCCTAGAAAGAGAAATTCCTTGGAGTTTGTCAATACTAAAAAGTTTGATTTTTTTTAATCAAGATTTCTCTCTGGGGACGAAATGGCTATATAAATGAGGTAAAATTGAGTTTCATTTTTATGTAATTCATTTTCTCTGCTCCATAATAAATATATTGAGTTCTCTTTGTGGATCACATTTAATATTTTTTATTATTAGGATACATTCTGATTACCTACTCACGCATATATATATATATATATATATATATATATATATATATATATATATATATATATATATATATATATATGTATGTGTGTGTGTGTGTGAGAGAGAGTACGCATGAAGAGTAAACGCTAATCAAGTGTATAATATCTTATGCAATTGCACTTAAACATTCATACATAGATATGCTGGCCCGGCTCAAGTTACAGGCAGCTCGCGCACTTGCCCAGGGCCGAGGTGTCCATCATACCGCTATTTCATTCGTTTGGTTTCATATCGTTGTCCATGACTCAAGAAATATTACATTAAATGTCTATTTTGTCATTAGAAAATGATCTTGTAAAGAAGATAGGTATAGAAAGTGCCATGAAAAGGTTTGCAAATCTAAAGGCTAGAAAAATGTTTTATGTAGGATAATAAATGTTTTATTAAGCTTGCATTATTTTGTATATTGCAATAAATTCGTTATTCTACATTTTCAGTTTTTCTCCGATTGAAAATTATATATATATATATATATATATATATATATATATATAATTATTTATTTAAAAATTTATAACTTAAATATGTTATAAAATCACTACAAAAATAGCCATTTTGTTTCAACACTCTCAGTGTCTTATCAAGTGATGATATTGAATGTAAAATAAATGGTTTTAAAATATATATATATATATATATATATATATATATATATATATATACCCTGAGCAATCTGTACTTCGGCACCCTATATATATATATATATATATATATATATATATATATATATATATATATATATATACTTGTAATGGTGCCGAAGTTCAGATTGCTCAGAGTACCAGCAACCATAGGGCCAGTCCTGTAGATATGCCTTCGTAATTTAACGTTTATTTTCTCGGCCCATATTTTACTGAGTACGTGTTTGAATAGATAAACAGTAAAATGAAAGTTTACTGGTCGTGTTTCTTGAAAATTTTATTAACGATAATTTAACTCTCAGCAGGAATCGAACCTGTATGTTATTTTTGTGGTGGGGAAACATTTATTTTATCTATGCCGGCTGGTATTGTTTTGGGAACGGAAATCCTTACAGCAAGATAATGCTTTTTAAGAAATGTGTATATTGTGTTTAGACATTATAGTGTCGATATTTGTTATGCTATGTTTTCGTAAAGAAATTAATTTAGTAATTGACGGATTTTTTCAATTTGAAAATATTTTTATTAAAATAAACGTATGTACCTCTACCTTTCTTGAAGCTTTTTACTTTAGTTGTATTTTAAAGCTGATTGATTAAATTTAATATTTCCAATAAGCAAAATGCTTTGCTGTGTTTCAAAAATTAATTTTAAACTAATTTAAATTTACTGGATATAGTTTGTTTTTTGCTAAAATAGCTGATTAGCGACTATTTTTTTTTAGTAATCTTTCATAGCAATGTAATTTTCCTCATGAAAAATTCTTCCAAAAATAAAAATATACTTTCTGAAAATTTGAGGAATATGAGCTGATTTGAAGAATAATTAATCTGATTTGAATAAGTTTAAATGTCCCAGAAATATATTTTTAAACCGATAGTAACTGTTTGTTTTTTTAATATTTTGACGCTGAAACTTTGTTTTCATCAAGTATCGCTATGTTCTGTTTTTAGCGAAAAAGAGGAGCTACCGGTAGACGTTATTTTGTGTGCAAATGTTTGATTACATTTTCTATTCATTTACAAAGATCGAAATCAACGTCTGCCGGTTTAAATCATCTAAATACTTTTTACTTGTGGAGTTGTCATCTGTAGCAAATAGTAATAATAAATAAGTTAGTGGAAATGAATCGGAATAAGTCACTGAGAAATGATTCGACGTGTGTGATTCAAAATAAAAAAAATAACAGATGGCAAGTTTAAACAAATAACAAATCCTGAACACGTATTTAGAAACAAATTTATTTACAAACAGATGTACAAAAGAGAACATAAAAAATATGTCATATTTCCGGAAAAGGGACAACAGAGATCGTTTTAATTAGTGTTTTATTTAGTGTTGTGGAAGGAGAATGAGGAAACGATTAGTTTGGTTTCTTTTACCCTGCTGGGATAAATCCTGCTTCATTGTGTTCAGGTGTATACAACCAAAAGCATTTATTTATCCTCTAATTTCCGTTTCCTTTATACTTAGGCACGAGATGATTTGTAAGAAGACTCTGGATCAAAAATATTAGACTCATTAAATCATGTAATAAAATTGTGAACTGATTTAGATCTATTCGCTCCGCTTTTTATTGAGAACAAACACAAATGCAGTAAATCATATGCCAACTGATATTTTACCTTATTTTTCAAAATCTTTCGCAATCCTGTAATTTTTTGAACACCGATTCTTAATATCAATTGCACGTCCTTCTTTCTAGCTACGTTTCGCTATTTCGATTCGTGCTTCTTTTCTTTTCCTTTTTCTATTATTTTTTTTCCTTTATTTATTCTAGTTTTCTTGATTGGTCGAATTAATTCAGTCACTGAATTTATCGTGTTTTTCTCAGTGAACCCATTTATTGGTACATAATGGTTGGGCTGGTTCCGGATTTATGTTCGATAGTTCCAAAACAACCTGTTAAATAATTGTTGAAACTTGACTAATGCATGGAATAATAATGCAACACAAAATGTACTTAGAACAAAATGTATTGAAACAAGAAAGTGTACACAATATTTACATATAGTCTTTTGTGCATTCCTGGTAAGACCGTTCCTGGAGAATGTGTTGACTGAGTCGCAGTCGGGCAGAGTCTCTGGTTGAATCTCTTGATTCCTACCTCTCTTCCCGGTACCAACCATATTTATATGGTCGGTACTCCACTATGCAAATTAGGTGGATCCTACCACAACAATAATTAAGTAACATAACTGTGCGATTTGAAAGCCATACCTATAAAATAGTTGTTTCTTCTTTATTTTTTAAATCTCTATTTAAGAAAACGTTTCTTTTACCTTTAAAAAGAAATCCATTCACCATCATGTCTTCACACTATATATTTTCCTCGTTATCAGTCAAATTAATTGCTTGGTTCGAGAAAATGCTTTTTATAATTTTTTTATTCCTTATATTCATTCCCAGTTTATAGACTTCTAAAATTCATCCCGGACCACCTGGTAAAAAATTTCAAAATATCTGTCGTCTAATCTATTGCAATTCAAAGTGTAGCTGCTCGACAGGAAATAATCAGCTGAAGATGTCGTTGGCTTGTTACCGAATAACTTACTATGGTGAGGAAGCACGAAATGAAAGTGTGTCACTCTCTTTTTACTTGTACCAGTCAATACAAAAGGTGTCCATTGCGGCCTTTGATCTCATAGCGAACCTATTTTGCTTTGATGTCTACCGAAAACGTAAAATAAAATGCAAAAAGCCTGGCCGATATGTGTCGGTGATTGATAAGAAGAGATCCATTTAGTTTTCTTTTTAATTAAAATCCTAAATGAATTTTCTCCGTTTCTCTCTCTCTCTCTCTCTCTCTCTCTCTCTCTCTCTCTCTCTGTATTATTATTTATTAGTCATAAATTTTTTTCAATTCTTAGATGTTTTGTTCGTGAAGTTTGCAGCACCTAATTTTTCTATTCATATTCCTTTCTCTTATTTTACAATTTCCCGCCTTTCTTTCTTTCTTTCTTTCTTTCCGACCTTACCTTTCTATTAGCGATACTTTTTATTCTACTTTTTTGTTCTTTCTTTCTTTCTTTTTATTCTGACTTACCTTTCTGCCAGCATTACTTTTTTAATTATTCTTTCTTTCTTTCTTTCTTTCTTTCTTTCTTTCTTTTTGAACTTATGTATCTGTCAGAAATACTTTATTCATTTTTTTCTTTCTTTCTTTCTTCTTTCTTTCTTTCTTAACACTATTGCATTTTCTATCTATCTATCTATCTATCTATCTATCTATCTATCTATCTTCCGGCATGTATTCAGTCAATCAGTTTTCTTCTTTTTCTGCAAGCGTTGCATTTTGTATGCTTATTGCTTTCATTCCCTCACTATCATTCCTTTCAGTATGGTCTTTTCATCTTTTTCTTTCTTTCTTTCTGTCTTTCTTTCTTTCTTTCGTTCGTTCGTTCTTTCGTTCTTTCTTTCTTTCATTCTTTCTTTCTTTCTTTCCGCCTTACTTTTCTAGTAGCGATACTTTTTATTCTTTTTTTTTGTTCTTTCTTATTATTCTGACATACCTTTCTGCAAGCATTACATTTTGATTATTCTTTCTTTCTTTCTTTCTTTATTTATTTATTTCTTTTTGAACTTATGTTTCCGTCAGAAATACTTCATTCATTCTTTCTTTCTTTCTTTCTTTCTTTCTTTCTTATATCATTTTGTATGTCGTTTAAACATTCGTGCATATATCTCTCCGTCTCATTTGCACGTTAACAATTTTTTCATTTCTTTGTTTACTTCACCTATTCCCTTTGTCAATTCATTTGAAAGAATAAACAATTCTCATTTTTGTTCATTCTTTTATTTAATCATTTCACCCCAAGCAAGGCGACAATGTCACTAAGGCGCAGGAGTTACCATGAGTGAAAGAGAATGAGAAAAATTCAGAAGAACGACCCTGACACCTAGTCATATTCTGAAAACAAGGAATCAACCTCTACTCCAATTCAGAAGAGGTGTAAGCGTGTGCACCGGACTATAGGCGAAATAAGATAATATGTGACGTCCCCAGCCCTGCTCGTTCCTCGCTGCTTCGTTCGGGTGTCGCCGCTCCAAACGTGACGTCCGCCGGTCTGCGTCAGTCGTGTTGTCCCGTCCTGTGACGACCAACTGGCTTGGTATTGGTCGCGGCACACAAATGTGACGTTCTAACCTTGATTCGGATGGGAATCTGCTTAGATTCGATATCAGCCTCGTCGTTTCCAACTCGCTTCCAACGTCTGGTTACCGAAGTAACTGCGTTGATCTCCAGTCCGCCTACCCACGTTGTGAATTGATCTTAGGCAGACGAAATCAATCAGTCGTCGGGACCGTAATGCAAGTTGAGTTCAAATAAGGGTGGTATCGCACAAATATGTGTAAAAGAAAAGAAAATAATAACTCAAAAAGTCCAAAGGTATCAAAAAAAGGATAACAATACTTTATATCTGGCTGCTGGATACATAGGACTGCGTCTATCTCCCGACCCGCTATATGGATTCGTGACACGTTGTTTTTGATAAGCGAGTTTTAACATCTTAAGTTGTCTGTTCTTTAAGAAACTGATTCTTGGTGTGTCTTCAGGCGATAGTCGTAAAACTTGTTTTGGTGGTATGAATCTAAGTCGCTCTTCAAAAATAAATTGTTCTTGGATTGAAGATGAGTTCGGAAGTTGCGCGAATCTTAGTCAGCTAATGCGAGGCGGACCCACTTCAACTGCGACCTGGAAACTCTGGAAAACTGGGACTCCCACTGATTTTAGCTTGCTGCGACTTTGCTTATATGGACGCCGACCAAAATCGGGGTGGGCTTTGTCGGGATTTCAAATCCACAATCCCCCCCTTTTTTTGTTTTCGGCCAGGAAAAATTTATTATTTCCATTTTTGGAAGTCTTTTCTTACCATACCCTCAGAGGGCGTCAACGATTTTCCTACTTCTTCGCAGTAACATCCCATACCTATCCTCTTTAATGAGTGGTAGCAGGCCTCTCCCCCCTTGCATCACATGATCACCTCCGCCTGGCTCTCGTTAACATTCAACCAATGGCCGATCAACAGTGTGGGTGTGACCAGACTAGCCTTGCTCAAAGAAAAAAGAATTATCTCCTCTTTTTCTTTTTTCTATTTCCCTTATTTCTTTTCTTTTCTATTCTCTCTCCTTCTCTGGCCGCCAACAGAACAATACAACCCGTAGTGTGATAACCACAATTCCTATCCCAAAGTCATTTTCATCTGGATTTCGTCAATCAGATTTTCGCCAATTATCAGGTGGGTGTCATCTAGCGAAACACAGCCAACTTTTCCGATAAAATAGTTTCGCTGTCATCACCAGATTCTAACACAACCCAGACCTTGTCTAACGATATCTTTCCATCGACAAAGACTTAACCTATTTTCCTTGTTTTCTTTTTTTTCAGCTCGTGTGTGGTCAGGGCATTCCTATTTCTCGGTCACAGAAAATCTTTTTCCCGATAATATAAGTTCGCCACAATGACCCAGTTAATTTTTTTATCTGTTCAAAACTCGTGTGTTTTGCTAGCCGATCTGGAACTTGTCAATTAGATTTTCGCCAGCACCAAGTGGCTGTTATCTATTCCCGATAATATAAATCCGCCACCACGACACAGTTAATTTTTATCTATTTAGAATTCTCGACAATGGCAATGAAACCCTTCACTATTTTTCATTATCAAAATTTCATGTCTTTCCATTCTTTTCTTCCTTTTCCTTGCATCCCCAAATGGTGTCACAAATATAATTATCCCTTTTAAGTTTCTAACATTCTACGACACCTGACTTCTTCCTTTATATTTGTGAAACGGTGTCATTGTGCATTGCTCTGAAGAGAAAGGGGATTGTGTTACCCTAATATTCTAATTAAAAGGCTTGCCTCTGCCTTGGAAAATTCCGTTCAAGATTACGGCGATTTTCTGATCTTAAATTCGAACTCTTGACTCCTTTGGGAATTACGCAAGTGTATAAGCGACGAAACCAAGAACTGGAAATGTATTTCTTGATTAAACAATATTCCTCCCAGCCTCCATGCATGACTGGTTTCACCTGTTTTGCTAAAGGTATTATTTACTTATGTAATTCCAGCTCGACTCTAAATTTTCTGATTATTCTATAACAACAATATATCGTAAAATCGATTTGAAAACATTAATATTTCAAAGTGTGAGAATATCAGTATGACCTCATCTAAGGAGTGAACTCAAATGACCAACAGATTCACTAGTGAACTGTACAGAAGCTTAAAACTTTGGTTAATGTGTTTGGTAGCAGAATAATATTATCTGGTAGTATGAATATACTCAAACTTATTGAACGTATTGAAATATAAATGTGGATAGTATATTTACAAGCACTCTATAATTGATATTGAGCCCTTTTGGCATATCTTAAAACTATATTTTCTGCATATTTAAGTCCTGATAAACAGTATTCTCGCTACATTCATAACATGGACATGGAGAATCTAAACTGTGACTTCTTCCTAATGAACATACTCATCCCAGTAACAGCCACATACAAATTGAAATTAATAGAAAACATTGAAAACAACATAAAAAGTGTGATACACAAAACGCATTTCTACTTAATCCAAGACTTTAGCAAAAATAACACACTGAAGGAAAATAACTATTTCAAAAAAGAAAATGTCTCCTCAACACAAACCACTAAACATCTTCTAAAAATACTTACTTAGGAATAAATATAAAATTTCTTAAACAATTAAAAAAAACCTAAAAAGCGGCGCAATCAAAATAAATCGATGACCTAATGCATATATCACCGCAGACAAAACTAGAGATATATATGAACTACGTCGCCATTAACCCCCCCCCCCAGCCGAATAAAAAGAAACCCAACAATCTATCCAAGGACAACATAGTAAATCATACGAAAAAGCACGAAAAACTACAGAATACTGTATTAATATGGGCGCTAAAAATCGCCTAATCAGTAGACCCAAACAACTGAAATACTGCATCGCTAAATCACAAGTATTTATTACGCTAAAAGATATCAAGGAACATTTCTAAGCAAACACAACATGCAAACTCATAAAACCCAATTATAACTGAAATAACATAAATAATACTAGAAATAATACAGAACTAAGGATGAATTTAAGAATAAACCAGCGAGAAAAGACTGTTTCCGTAAAAAAAAAAACACAACAAAAGCACAACATTATTACGAATTTATACTAGATGTCTACCCATCAATAATTGAACCCATGTTAGATATGACAACATCTTTAGCTCAGGAAGAAATAAGAATAAGAACAAACTAATTAAAATCCTTTTATTCAACCGTAAAGACGCGGGGTTACAGAAAAAAAATGAAATTTCGACGTTACAATGGTACATTGTGATAGTGATGAAAGCTTATATAGTCATATTCCTACGTAGCCAAAACCCCTAACTGCACACACTTTAAATTTAAAGAACCATCTCTTTTTCTATCGCTAAAATGATATAACACGTTTATTCCCCGTCTCTCTTTCAGTTTGTCATAATAGTTGCTGACTACAGGAATAATTAGGTCCGACAGGATGGCGACCAAGTAACAGCTCCAGGCTAGAAATAAATGGATTCTTACACATGTGTACAATCATGTGATCAAGTACGAAACTTTGAGCGGGAAAATATAAGAAGGAATCAGTTGGAATCCGAGTCTAATTCGAGTAACATCTCTTTTTATTTGTTACCGTCAAGCAAAAGAAATCGCACAATGAAGACATGTTCCAATGCAACTCAACATACCATGTTGCATATATCAAATGCACTGGTGAATTACTGTGATTATCACCTAAGAAAGGCATGTGTGATCCACTAAATTGGACGCAGGCTACAGCATATTCAGCGCCGAATCTGAATAAGACAGTGAAAGACCATCTCTTGAGATCAAAACTCATAACATTGAAGAAAGAACAATATATCAAAAGATATCGCTGCTCTAATGAAAAGAGATGAAAGTAAAAATAAAAAAAGAGAAATATAAAACTAGTGAAAGAGAGAGAAAAGGGAAAAGAGTAAATCCTATTTTACTTCAGGCGAATAGCCAAAATTAAGTGAATTTTTACTTTCCGGTTCAGACTTAGAACGCATATATATTTCCATACAGAAATGTACAACGCACACCTTTCCACACATTCCCTTGCATTAATGTTTTTTTATGAATCGTCTCATTATAATTAAATCTTGTTAATTGGTATATTAGCGTTTGTTGTTCGTTACTGTTGGTTGTTTCTCCTCATTGTTTTATTTGACCCGGTAAAGAATCCTTTCATTACGAAGCGGTAAACAGTCATATGTTGATTTTTTAATATTTTATTTTCAATTTTTTTTTTTTTTGGCGGTAGCTGTTCCGTAAAAAATGACATTAATTTTCTTCATGAACTAAGGACAATAATCAATAAAATTTATATAGCCTCTACAGGGACGCTGGTCTCATAATCTATAGAAACTGTAACGGGAAA